CAAGACCGACTACTCGTCTATCGGCATCAACTTGATGGAGAAGCCTGAGTGGTACGACAAAAACACCAACACCATCACAAGCAAGGCATGCCGGCCATACACGATATCTTCTTAGTTCCGAGTTGTACTCTCGCCCTGCACAGATCCCGGCGCTCACGTATGGAAGCCCCGAACATCCTCCAGAAAAACCTGATAAACTCGGGGCTGTGAAGACAAGGATTAGATCCGACTAGAGTCGAAGCAAGATCTTCAGTCAGTAAGGAAAGACTATATTGCAGCAACGAACTGTACCTAGAGTCGAAGCAAGACTACAAAGGTTAAGTAAGTAACTACAAGTTAGAGGTAGATGTAACGAAGTACTCACTCTTCAGTCAGTAAGGAAAGACTGAAGAGGGAGGACGAAATCTGAAGTCCTTATATACTACAGAGAAGTGTCCATGACTAATCGAAGAGTGGTTAGTCACATGTACCATAGTGCGATGAATAATACAACGACGAAAGAATTGCGACATATCGCACCATAGGATGAGTAAGACATAGACCTGTCTAGACCGTTCTGGAGTAGTACGGATTGTCCTAGACAGTACCAGAAGAGTCCGGAAGCATAGCTATAGTACACGAGCAGAGAGTCTCAAATATGGTAACATACTACATAAGCGACTACAGCTAAGCGCTAGGAGACGCATAGCCTCGTGTAGTCCGGACCGGATAAGTCCAAGTTCAACACTCCCACTCAATCCGTACCTACGGAAGAGCGTTCAGTGTCATGTTCGAGCTCCTCAAACGAGACCTCCCGCAACGCGCACATCCTCCCCTCCGGTCTGATCCTCCGCGCGAAAGCGCACATCTTTATCTTCATCGTCGACAGGAAGCTCCTTGGGAGCTTCCGCGAGCACTTTGCGGAGGGCGCCCCCGCGACTCACCTTACGGTCTTCGACGTGCTCTATGCACGCTTGCCGGCTTCGTAGTAGGCTAATGAGACAACGCAGACGTCATCGTTGGGCAGTTGTGAACGCCGATCGTAATGCTGCTGGAGACGGATATCGGGAGGTTCAATGAGGAACGGCCGAAGGGGTAAGAGTTGCTGAGGGGTGCTGGAGAGGCGGTGAGGGCTGCATGTACTGACTGATCCAACTCAGACGAGTATGCTGGCCAGGTGGAAGAATGACCAGTTCTTCAAGCTTTGTCAGGATTGGTCGTTAGTGGTGGCTGAGCATGTTCCATAAGAAACCCTGTCAACTCGGATGTTTACCGACTGACTGCATGCACGGATGATGTCGTACTCCTACCGTAGGTCTATGTAGGGATAGCTAAAGCATTCCGCCGGCGGGAAGTCGGAGGGATGATCCACAACGATGGCATGCTATCCAGAATGAGCCACAACAACTTTATCACTAAAGCGACGCGAGACTTGGACCAGGAAGATCAAGCCATACGACACAAGAACGCTACGACCGCCACTTGACGCAACCTTGAATGTAACGTGCACTTATACTACATAGCAACAAGTAGACACAACTTGGACCTCGCCGTCCCATATGGAGTGAAAGGTCTGCATGGAAGCAACAATAATCTGCAACACCTCAGCAATTCTTCTTCTTCTTCTTCTGGATCCCGTTTATTGCCCTGCGAGGCCGAGCCTCATGGTAGGCCATAAGTACATCAACTGACTACAACTTAAAGAAGAAAGGTACGGCGGTTCAAAAGCGAGCCAGCGGCTCGTGCAAACTAGGAGTGTGTGAGGAGGAGAAGTGTCGGATGGTGCTAGGGGTATACCGGAAGTACGAGGAACTGACAGAGGCTAGAGTAAGACGTTCGGGAGCATAGGTGTAAGAGTAGCAATTGGCAGGGCTCAGGAAAGTGCGCTGCGGTCGCCCGTCCACCCCCGGCCATCGAAGGCAAGGGGACAGGTTATAAACCTGCCGTGCATTGGGTACACTTACGTCCCTGGGTCTTGCCTCTTGCCACGGTCAGGAGTACGTCCGGCGGTGTCCCCGCCGTCCGTCAGAACTCCCCCGCCCCTAGAGCGGGCGGGCGCCCGCAGTGCAGTTTACCAAGGGATCAAGAGACAGATATGAGCGGAGTACAGTAATGCGTGCG